CACTTGTCTTTCCTAACATCCCAGCAGATGTTTATATATATATATATATATATATATATATATATAAAAAAAAAAAAAAAAAAAAAAAATTTATGTATATTTCAGTTTGAACATTATCATATACATTTTGTGTTTGAACACTGGGAAGGAAAAACTTCCAAACAACTATTATTTCTACAATTAGGATCCCTGGGAAACACAGGGATCTGCATCAAAAGAATAAAACTTAAGGTTAGAACAACCTTAAACTAACCAGTGTAATACGATTAGTCTCTTGGGACAGGATCCCAGGCTGCTGGTCAGAACATGCAGCTATGTGAACAGTACCAAACGGTGTTCGCCTTTGCCTGGACATGGATCCAAACAGGTTCACAAACACTCAACTCAGGCTCCCACAGAAATAGGTTCAGTATTAAAGACATGATGAGTGAAATCCACAATATGTGTGATTAAAGTTATTGTAATGTTTTTTGTATAAACCAATTGTATCAGTAATATAGTGAATAAGTAAGGTTTAGGCTTAGAAAGCAAATCACCTCCATTATGCTTAGCAGGTCCACTGCTCACTGAAACTTCTGGGCGCCGTGCACCTCCCAATTTAAATGAGGGAACGGTCAGTTCTCCGGCTCCGCTGCTGGGATGACTTTTTTCTTCACATAGTCCATAGCCTCGGTAGCATCCAGAAACTCCTTCTCATCATTGTGCGAGATGCAAAATCTAGCTGGGTATAATGTTCCGAAGCGGACTCCCGGGCTCCCCCGCAGCATCTTCCTGACATCCGTTAACGGCGCCCTGGCTTTGGCGACATTAACCGTGTAATCTGGAAATACAGAGATCGTGTTCCCATCGTACTGTAGCCCGCCGCCTCGGTCCCGGACTTTCCTCAGAATGGCCAAGGCGTCACCCTCGTTGTACAGCCTTGCGATGATTACGTGGGGCTTGTCCCCCGCTCCTCTCTGCACCAAGCTGCGGTGGGAGTGCTCGCAGGTCACCTCTTTATCCATCTGAATAACTTCTTAGAGGAGTTTTGAAACTGCTGCGGGCGAGCTGGATCCTGGACGCTCCTTGACCCCCGTGATCCGAATCTGCCTCTCCTCATTCTCCCCTACAAGTCCTCACACTTATCTCTTTGTTCACCCACCAACTTCTCAAGGTCTTTTACCGTGAGTTGCGTTGATACAACCTTGTCCCTCCATGTTGATAAGCCCTTCTCCACCGCTCCGACATTAGCCTGCTCCAGCTCAGCATGGTTAGCCGTAGCATTGTTACCGATTACAGGTCTCACTGCAATAAGTTCTCTCTTAATCAATTCAAAGTCCTCTGCCAGAGTGGTCCTCAATTCCTCTATTATTGCCACAGATATATCTTTTCTCCGCGATGAGAGGATGTCAGCCTTAATAGACGTAATATCCATGGTCAGTGTGTGACTGGGGTCGGGCGCGGCCGAGGTGGGGCTACCTGACCTCTTACCAGAGGAGGTGTTGGGCCTTGTGGTAGACGTATTTATATTTTTGGAGATTTGACGCTATCGACTTCACTTGTACTCACTTTGGGTCCTCCTTCAATGCTCTGCTAGACTTTTACTAGGGTTTTGAATATAGTTTTCAAGTTGAGTGTTGTTTTAATTATGAAATTAAAGCCTATTCCATGGGAAATCCAAGTCACACGTCTTATTCCATCAGTTGCTCGCTAGTGCCCCCTAAACCAGTTTTTCCACGAGATTTAAGAGCAGGAGTTTAACTCTCAACAGAGACAAGAAGCGTCTATGGACTTCAGCAGATTGAGATACTCAGATATGTGATCAAAGCCATGGGAATCAAACCAGATCCAAGAAAGTTTGAAGCAATTTGCAAAGCACCCAGGCCTGAAGATGTCCAACAATGCCGTTCATTCCTTGGCACTTGTGGAGTCTTGATATATGAAAAATTAATACAAAAAATATATGTATAGAAAATAGGAACTTGTACTAAGGGGACGCAGGATAGTGTTAAAAAGAGCAATGATGAAACAAGCTCTAGAAATTGGACATGAACCCCCCCAAGAAGCAATCGGAACAAAGCAGTTTCTTAAGAGCAAATTCTACAGGCCCAACATGGAATTAGATGTGGAGACTTATGAGAAACTGTTCTGCTTGTGTATTTACCCAACCACTGCATGAAAATCAACCCCTTGAAACACAGGAACTACCACTATACTGTGGACTAAAATAGGTATTGATCTCGTTGGTCCTATCTATTGCTGCAACCAGGCTCAGACGGGGAACGATTTTCGGCCCTGGCATTTTTCAAATGCATTTTTCCAATTCTCATTACCGTTTGTGGACTGTACTGGGATCTTTCTCTTGACTTCGCCCTTTGGATTGTCCTGCCTTCCATCGTCTGCTCGGATCTGATCTCCTGTCAGTTCTGTTATCTTCAAATCTTCGGCGTCTGGAACTCTCTGTGTGGCAACAGCCGCATCTGGTCAGCCGAGCGGCTGGCATAAACCTCGTTCTCTGGGCACGGACTGTATTCAAAACCAGAGTTGCTGCCTCAGACGCCCTAGCCGCTGCTACTCGGACGCTTTTTGAATGATCCCACCGTCAGTCTTGCCTGAATACTTGGTCCTTCTGTTCTAAGTCCCAACAGTTTATTATTTTTCAATGAATCGATTAATCGGATAGCAAAAGGGTTCTTAAACTAAATTCTTTATACAATTAAACAGCAAAACTATTTTTTTTTACTTAAAGAGTTCTGAATAGAGCATATGGATGAGTAAAAATGTTTAGTTTTTGGTTTTTTTTTACCATAAATGCAAAGCTAAAGGCATGTCTTAGGCTCTATACTCCACTTAACGATTAAACAATTACTAAATTAGTTGACAATTATTTCAATAATTAATTAATGATGATTACTCTGATTAATTGTTTCAGAACCGCAATGTTTAATGTTGATGACTATAATATTTCCTCTCCTGAGGCCAT